GATAATTAACATTAGTTTCGATTGGCAATGTAAAACATAATAACTTTTTAAGAATCTCAAATAAAAATACAAAATGATAGTATAGTTAAAAACAATACGAAGAATACTAATTAATACAACAAAAAGTAATTGTACTACTTCTCCTAATAGTATAATTTCACCACTTCACCGATTAGTTACACAGAAAATGGTACTATTTTTCATATGAGCATTTTTTGTGTGTGTTTGGTTCGATTTGAATCGTATCGATTTAATCCAAATTGACCACCAAAATCATTGTGTTTGTTTTAAGGCCCAGTTTAAAACACCAGAGTGATAACGGGCCCGTTAAAGGCATACAACAATTTGATACTAGTGTTGTTGGTTTAGGGTTGGTTCCCCAAATTAAACCGATTTAGCCGAACCGATCCCCAAACAAAACCAAAAAAATTCGATGTTAACCGGAAATTGAATCTTTATTGCAGAGCTTAAGCATAAACCCTAAATTGTTTATCACCATCGTCTTCATCGAATTTAGAGCAATTTCCAGAATCCATTGAAGAAAACTCCATGGATGATGATACACAATCGAAACCTCTAGAGGAGAAGCTGAAGAGTCAGCTTAATCAGGTTGAGCTTGAGCACGCAGTGTTCGAGAGAATGATTTACAAGAACAAGAATCAACATCGAAGATGCTCTTATTTCCAGTACCTTGAGAAGGTATACACACAATCTTCTCTCTCTGTTCGAATTGGATTCTGAATTTGAAAAAAAGATAACGAATTTTTAATTGCTAATGTTCGATTTTTATTTGGTTTATTAGGTGAGAAGAGAATTGAGACTTTTACGAACAACGAATATGAATGAGATTCTGAAATCTTGCTTTCATGTTATTTCTGGGAAAGGAAGTAAACAGAAACTTCATGTTTTGGAGAAGTAAGGTTATGTTTTGATTACTGATTTTTTTAATGAGAATTGGTGTTAGGAGCTTAGTTGGTGTTTTATGTTTATGTAGCTTGAAGTTGAAAAAATCGAAACCAAATATCTTGGAACGACTACTTGGTGCTCTTCGTTTACTCTCGCAGGTATGCTGCTCTCTATTCGATTTATCGTGTTGCTTTGCGCGGCGGTTAGACATAAGAACAAGACCTGACTGTTAGTGACTGATCATTGTGTGTTTGTTGCAGATGACTGAACCTATCTTAAAGGCGGCTTGGTAATTGATTGATTCATGAATTTAAATTTGTTTTTTGTGTTATGTTTTTAGAAGCTAATCGCATTCGAATTTTGTTATACAGTGGGATATCTGTTCTGCTAGCTCGTTCGTTTTTCTTAGGATTTTCCGTGACATCTTTGGCGCTGCTTGCACGTCTCCGAGTGTTGCTTCAACAAGTAAGTTAACTTTTTTTAGTTCGTTCTGCCTAATCCGATGATATAATCGATACACGTGGTGATTGATTTGTTCATTTTTTTGGCTTCGGGCAGATATTGCTTGATGCTGTTTCAGTTTTCAATTTGGTAACCTCTACATCACTGAAGAAACAGTCTGTAAAGATAGCACAGGACGGGGTTGAGGTTGGTCAAAGCGTCTCTCGTGGACCTTTTGGTGGAATTCTTACACACTTCAGTGATCTTGTCAGTAAACTCAGTTTTCTCTATTTGAAACAATACAGGTGTTCCGCGAGTTCTATCCGAAGGATGAAAAGTGCATCACCGTATTGGATTGTGTTTGGAAGACCGATAAATATGTCTTATCCGAGAAATTGCAGAACCGTGAGAGTAGTGAATCTGCAGAGGAAAATGTTTCAAAAGATGTTACTACTAAGGATTATTCGGTACAATATCAAACATTTGCTTCTCTTTTTGGGGGTAAGAACGTTCACAGAATTACTATTTGGTTCCCTAGTTCGAAGCTGGTTATGTACCCAGTACCTAGATTTACTGAGAACAATTTTTTTTGCTCATACTTGTCTAGAATCCTGCCTTTAGAGTTTAACGTAATCAAAGGTTTGTAGAGTTTGGTTTTAGATGGCTTTTTTAGTTAAAGTGATAACAACAGCCAAAAATTTAAGTTTTTTTGTACTTATCTGATAATTTCGTGCTTTCGATTGAACTGTCCCATTTGCAGAAGATCCCTCTCCTTTGCTTGAAGCAGACGATGGTGGTGCTACTGCGAGAGAAAGCTCGACTCCCATTATCGAAGCAGCTTCTTCCAAGACTAATAATGTGTTGCAACAAGAAGTTTCAGAAAACCCAGAAGATTCTACAACTAGGGATTGTTCAGTTCAGTATCAAACATCCCTTGCTCCTCTCGGAGGTAAGAATCTCCACTGAAATACTGTTTGGTTAGATATTTTCGGTTTCAGAGACCGTATGCTGGTTATGTCCTTAGCACTGATCCACTAAATAGGCTCAATACGTGTTTAGAACTTCATGGGTTTAGTGATTTAATGACTCAAAGGTTAAGGAGTTTCGGTTTTTGATGGGTTTTATTGAATTGTCCAACTTGCAGAAGATCTCTCTCCTTTGCTTGAAGCAGACAACAGTGGTGTTACTGTGAGAGAAAGTTCCCCTCCAATTGCCGAAGCCGCTCGTTCCAACACTAACAATGCGCTGCAACCAGAAGTTTCAGTAAATCCAGAAGATGCTACAACTAGGAATTTTTCTGTTCAGTATCAAACATCTCTTTCTCCTCTTGGAGGTAAGAACTTCCACGGAATTACTGTTTGGTCGTTTATCTTCGGTCCCCTAGTATGCTGGTTATGTCCTTAGCACCTATCCACTAAGTAGGCTTATACTTGTTTAGAACTTCATGGTTTTAGTGTTTCAAGGGCTCAAAGGGAGTGTTTGTTTTAGATGAGTTTTATTGCTAAGGGCGTAGAGATGAGATAGAAAGATTTTCTGTTTTGTACTTTACTGAAAGATTTGTGCTTTTGATGAAATTGTTCATTTGCAGAAGATATCTCTCCTTCTCCTCGAGAAGACAAAAACGGTGGTGTTACTGCTACGGAATGTTCGACTCCCGTTGTTGAAGCAGCTGCTTCAAAGACTAGCAATGAATCCCAAACAGAAGATTCAGAAAGACTAAAAGATGAATCTACAAATCCCGTGAGCCCGATAAAAAATGTCTTAGACATAAAGAAACCGACTTTTAGAGCAACCAAGGTTGCGTTTCTACCCATGAAAAGACCTGCCACTGAAATAATGCCAAACACCATAGAGGAATCCCCAAGAAAGAAACCCGAAACAGGCGAGAAAGACAAAAATGAAGAAGAAGATGGATTTTATAATCTACTCATCGGCGGAACGCAAAAAGACAGTTTGTTCTAGCACAACAATTTCAAAACATAACCTGTATGTTATAAACCAAGCCACAAAGTCAAGCCTTTTTGAGTTGAGTAGCCAAGGATCAATTCACGGATCTTTTCGCTGTTGGCTCTGTCGATAGCCGTTCTTCCATCAGCATCCTTGACAGAGTAATTAGCACCGGCTCTAAGCAGCTCCTCGAACGTAGGCCTGTCACCTTCTGTAGCGGCTAGCATCAACAGGATATCGACCGGGTGAGTGTTTAGGTTAAGAAGAGCTTCCATCTTTGAATAGGTACCTTCTACCGCAAGCATCCCCATGTAATTGAAGTACTGCAAAAAAAAAAATCATATACATTTACACATCAGTTTCTTCCTCTGTGTTCTTCACAATTAAAAGAAATTGGCGTTTGCGTTTGAATTGTTAAATCGATTTGAATTGAGTCTATGAGAAGAAGTAACCTGTTCGACGTCGTCTCTGTCGAAGTCATCTCGAGACTGACTACCATAGATTCCGGCATTTTCAGCATCGACACCGTTCTTTCCGAACTTGAACCAGCAAGTGGTTCTTGAACCATTGGAGGGTCCGAGTTTTGCAGGTCGAATCCGAAGCTTTAAGTTTTGGGTTCCGAGAGACCGAGAAGAGAGCAGTCTTGGGATGAAGAAGAAACATTGATAGGTTTGATGGAGAAGAGTGAGCTCGCCAAAGAAGAAGAAGCCATGACTCTCTTAGTGTTTCAACTCATTTTATTAATCCACTCATTTTTTTATGTATAGTAAAACAAAAAATTGATGAAAAAAAAAAATGTAATAAATTTATATAAATCAATTTCAACCATTAGATTTCAGATTCTATTTCTGTTGGCCAACCAAAAACACAGTTTTAAAGCAATCTGAAAAATTATTAGTCTCTTATCTAAACAATTTTCAAAAAAATTCTGTTCCTTAAA